TGGGGAATGTGAGAATGTAAGTAAACAGCTGCAGGTGGTGTGGGGAAGTGTGAGAATGTAAGTAAACAGCTGCAGGTCGTGTGGGGCAATGTGAGAATGTAAGTAAATAGCTGCAGGAAATACACCTATCATGTACACAAGTTCGGATACGGCTAGCGATGTGTAGGGCGGGTCAACGCTCGACTCGCACGACGCTCTGTTTCTTTGTTTGGTTAGTATGCGCAATCTCTTATGTACACATATATATACTATCATATCCAGTGGAAACACACCCACACACTACCGAGGGCAAGTGCGTATAAGCAATTCAGCATGCATGAGATTGTATTCATATATATATATATATATATATATATATATATACACACACACACACACACACACATATATATATATATATATATATATACATACACACACACACACCCGCATATATATATATATATATATATATATATATATATATATATATATATATATATACATACATATACATACACATGCAGCCCATGGATACAAATAGTTTCATCCATATATGAATCTACACGTAAAAATAGTCCCAAGTCCAAAGACTGCGGTTCTAAGTGAAGCCCTCGAACGCAACATCCAAATAGTCCGAGCAAGACAGCACCAAACTGTCAATCCCTGCGAAAACATACACTGCCACGGATAGAGTGACACAGATGCGAATACAGTGGATGGCAGTCATATAGATGTACACAAACACATATATTATCCATTCAGCCACTTGCATATACATATACACATACACTTATATATTATCCATTCAGTCACTTACATATACATATACACATACACATATATATTGTGGATGGTAGTTATATACATATACACATACACATACATATTGTAATTAGCAGTCATATACCTGTACACATACACATATATATTATGCATTCAGTCACATACATATACACATACACTTATATATTGTAATTAGCAGTCATATACATGTACACATATACTTATATAATGTTAATGCCAGTCATATACACGTACACGTGAACTTTTTCTATAGTATACATTCGAATAACAATCGCTTACCGTTCTCACCAGCATGGACACAGAGCTGTGATTCCAATTCACGCCCACCAGCGCGAAGTCCGGAAAGTCCCAAAACAGCAGCACTAAATTAACCACCATTGCCGAAACAAGAACAGCCACAGGTCGAGTGACGTAGATGTGTCGGCTACGGATGACGTTCTGTTCAAAGCTGCGATCGAAACTGGTGCGTGCATTGAGCAGATGCAGACGCTCGCCTACAAGGTTTGGGGGATCGAATGTGAAGATAGTGAATAGATTAGTAAAGGTATAGGTTAGACAGGTGGAAAGGTCTGAGGACTCGAGTTTATTTATATTAATGAGGGTTCAAATATATTCATGCTAATTAGTACATACATAAATGTTCCGGTTAAAAGGTCTGAGGTTTCAAAATTAAATATTTTAATTAGGATATACAAAACTGGGCCAGATGAGGTGAATAAGTACGAATGAGTCAGTTAATTCGGGAATTGGGTTAGTGATTTTGCAAAGTCCGATTAGTTCAGGGCAGGACTACTGTGATTCTGGTCATAAAGCTCACAATGAGTGTACGCTCTCGGAGAAAGAGTATCGTAGTGTATGATAAGTGGACAATAAGTGAGCACCCAAGTATCGTCGTGTATGATAAGTGGACAAGAAGTGAACACCCAAGTATAGTGTGTATGATAAGTGGACAAGAAGTGAACACCCAAGTATAGTTGTGTATGATAAGTGGACAAGAAGTGAGCACCCAAGTATAGTTGTGTATGATAAGTATACAAGAAGTGAGCACCCAAGAATCGTCATGATAAGTGGACAAGAAGTGAACACCCAAGTATAGTCGTGTATGATAAGTGGACAAGAAGTGAGCACCCAAGTATAGTTGAGTATGATAAGTGGACAAGAAGTGAGCCCCAAGTATCGTTGTGTATAATGCTATGGTCTTCTGATACCCTAATTGTCGACGTAATGGGACATAATAGTTTTGGGTTGAGTTTCAAATCATTAATTCATATAACTACAGTGATAAGAAATAACCTGTATTGGGTATTGAACACAATCCAGATTTCGGGGTCACGTCAATCCCGTAACCTGCTGTGGAGTTCTGTTCTTTGCCACCTCTGTCTGTAACTCGGGTGTTATTGCATTGGCCTATTCTGTGTTGGAGATAATTTTATACAGGCTTCGGGCGACTTCTTAGTATATTGACCATCATATAGACGATACATCATATAGACGATAGATACCTTAGAAAAACTGGGTCAAATGTCCTGATCGAAATAACATTGCGGCCGAAGCCGTTTGGGGGTTGCCGCGAGACTCTGTATTGGTCTAGAACACATTATATCACACAACTCCAGACATAAACAAACACTGCACAAAGACTGAACGCTTTGGTAACCATGGTGACGCCACGGGGCAACCATCCGCCAATGAGCGTGCATGCGAATGCAGAAGTATGTCTTATGATGGCTATGTTATTTATATAAGCGGGGATAGATTCATCGTGGTTCCTACTGAGTGTCTAAAGATGCTAGTGTGTACAACCAGAACTAAATAACACACAATATAATACAACATCTGGACTAGGTGCGAAAATACGCGAAATGTTTGCTGGCAAATGCCGAAAGCTCTATCTAAAGTTTAGGGCTACTCTGCAAAGGCTTCTACAGAGTACATATGAAACAGGATTGACACATTTGACACATTACTTCATAATGACACAGACACAGACACAGAAACAGACACAGACACATACGCATCCACATCCACGTCATATACTCATATAATATACACACATTATATATATATATATATATATATATATATATATATATATATATATATATATATATATATATATATATATATATATATATATATATATATATATATATATACTATACTATCCTAAATACGGAAACAAAGGAAGGAACATGGACTATCTTTACTATAGCAACCACAATATTGATCAAAGATAACGTACCTCTGAACCGTGAGTAGGGTTTGCGAGACTGACCATGGTGTTTATTCGTATTCCTACTTAGGGGTTTTCAGGTAATGTATATAGCTAAATAAGGTGAATTCCAGTCGTGCTATAATTATGTGCTACATTTGGTAGAAAATCAAATCCGCTATCACATCATGATGTTGAAGTTCTTCGATGTATATATGATGTATGGTGATCTTTGGACTATCTTTATAGGCAGTACATAGGCTCCTTGATTATATTTGTATTGTCATACACAGACACTTGTATCATCATGAGTGAATTCAAATGGCATATGGCACTCTGTATTTTATTTTATTTTGAGAATGAAGCGACAGTGAGATTAAATATTGATGACTAGACCAAAGTCCAACTTTCTATTTATAGACTGCCCCAAGGCCCAAAATTTCAAATTTGGGCCACAATTTCAGGGCTAAAAACATTATATTACAAGCATCATTATTCAGTGACAAGAAGAGGACCTGGACTTCTGGAGGCTGGAGCCTTGGAGGGCACCAGTCCGGAGTCGCCTACTGTTGTTTCCATGGTGATGGCCTTCTGTGTCATCATGTACAAATTTGTAGTTTTGTACGTTTTCTAATTTTTAGTTAAAACAAGTAAAATAAATATGTATCAATATTACCGAGTAGCTGTGTACGAAGACCGGCACTGTTATCACTTCGAATAACTATTTCATCTAAGCTGTCTTAGTACGATCATCCATATCGTAGTAATTTTACAATCAAAATGAGATTCTTCTTCTATTTCGGTATGTGAGCAATTCATTGTGATTCAACCCAATACTCTGTGTAATATATGTGTTTTTATGTTCATATGGAATGACCTCACATATATGAAGATACAAACTGACTATGAGTTTGATCGCGAGTAGGTAGAAACCATCTGCTGAATTTAGACACACTGGTATCTGAAACTACGCAAGTGACGATACTCATTTGGATAATTTGTAAAATACATATGTGCGTATATGTGTACGTATTATGTTCATCAATGTTTGATATTGCCCCTTTCCTAAGTACGTATACTATATATATGTAAGAAGTTAGAAGATTTCATATATATATATATATATATATATATTACATGTGCACACACAACTTCACAAGTCTATCACTTCAAACCGGCTATTGCATGTGAAATCTATTTGATAATGCACTCGGAATAGAAGTCGTGGGCATATAACCTCATACGTGCTACTGTTTTTAGCGCAGTGACAAGCAATTATACGCGAAATGATGTATAATCACATAACACTATATATATATATATATATATATATATAAATACACACAGACATATATACATATATATATATATATATATATAAATACATACATACACACATACATATATATATATATATATATACACGCGCGCGCGCACACACACACGCACACACACACGCACACACACACGCACACACACACACACACACATATATATATATATATATGAAGAGATACATGTGCGTACCATGTCTCTAGATTGTTTTTTCAATTATAGATTCAATCTCGTTTCCTCGTATATGACCAGTTACATACAAAAGTACTGCGAAATACCCTCAAATTGAACAATTAATGCGAATGTACTCCACACATACACATAAATACAAAGACTCATATTGCGCATGTCTACATTGGCAGCTGTCGCGGCACTGGGTGTGGCTAAAGTATACGCCACCACAGACACATACACCCCCCCTGAAGGCCTCCCACTAGTCGCGTTCTCTCCAGGAGTCAACTACCAGCTCATGCAGGTCAGTACGTGGTGTTGTATACAGGTGTCATGTGTAACATCAGTTATTATACTTATAATAATGTAATGTAGTATTCAACATCTTTTTTGTATATGTATCGTGTGTAGGAGTGCGTAGTTGTCATGTAAACATATATGAGGGGCTCCCACTATATATATATATGTATATATATGTATATATGTATATGCACACACACACACACACACATATATATATATATATATATATATATATATTTATATATATATACCAAAACAGCCCACCAATCGCTGTCCAACAAGTCTCTGTCCTTTTAAACCATCAAAGCACACATATACCTAAACAACCTCACTACTCTCCTTCCTATTTACAGGCTGACAATGACGAGTTTGTGATGCAGCTTACGATTGACGCTGGTAGCAAGCTCGTGACGCTGCGGCACAAAGACGGCCTCTCTGCAACGGTGGTGGAAGGTAAGGAGAGTGTATGAGACTGTGCTCGGCAAGCTGTCTGATACTTGGCGTGTGTGTGCACGTTTCACCCACACTTGCACAAGTATAAATACATCTCCCCATGCGCATAGACGCCACTAAAGACTTTTAACTTACGTTCCTAGCTCTGACGTATATTGCAACTCGATGCCCTATCCCATAATCGCAAGTTCGTGAAGTGTATCTTTACGTTCGTAGGACGGACACATTGACGCAACTGCATACACTAAAACGATACCATTCTACTATCATCAGGTTCGTTGCAACGCTCTGAGGATGGTGCGGTTGTGCATGCGGGTGACTCATGGGAAGGCCCTGCTGACGAATTGCATACGTTTGCTACATCGCACGTATGTGGTGTATCCTTCGATGAAGTATTGAGTTACCAAAGTGTGCGCCTCTGAAACACGTTTGTAAGATGTCACATATGTGGATGTATAGCATTTGCTTGCGTACTGATAGTGGTATGTGCCTGTAAAAGGGTTGGTTAATAATAATGGTACATATATGAAATAGGTTTTGTGTAGTGTATACATATGACAATGGCGCTAAAGTTTGTGGTAGTGCTTTACTTCATATTTGATTTTTTGAGTGTGAACGTACACACGTGCACATACATAGTGGTTAAAAAATGAGAACAGGACAAATATTTTTCCCGTAAACGTTTCCGTTTACTGTACTAATACACTTGCGGTGCTACTAGATGAACAACAAATAAAGGTAGTGGTGTCGATCATAGCCTTCTAAATAGACATGTCTGTTGAGCGAGTTGGTTGTTTTAGAATGGAAGCTGGTTGCTTTGCTCACCTTTATATTATATTGTATTTATATATATACCTCATATACCTCATCTCTTATTCCAAAACATCGAAATATGCGTACACACCCCGATAGTCGTCACCGAATTGCGCACTCGTTTTATGCGAGCGTCCAAAATCACCATACTATGAGTATACAAAGTATTAAAATCATCCCACTACAACAACAACATGACACAACAGTACACGCCCCGTCTCATCAACGTTTATGCCAATACAGATATCCACAATGGTCTTTTGTGAGAATGATCACCACAATACGACACTATATGCTTAAGATTGTATATGCAACACGAGTACCATCATCAGCATTGAAGGTCTAAGTCGGATTTTACACACGACTGACAGGCCACAAAGATCCCCAGTAAAGTTTTGCTCACGGTGAAAGGAGAAGTCGAATACTTGGTCAACGGAAAGGTAGTAAACAGAGACAACAGCAAGACGATTCAGGACAAGTATAAGAATGGCCACACCTACTTAGGTATGATATATTTATATAATATATATATACATATACATATACATATATTTAGTGAATATTTTCTTTGAATGTATATATATACACTTGACTAACTGTATTGGTCACCCGACTGCTATAAATAGCTACCCCTCTACTTGTCCACTCACAATGAATCCAATTTTTGTTTTTACGTTCAGGTCGAGTAGACGGCGAGTTAGACGTTGAGTCGCTCCTCAATGAGTTCTACAGCACAGTTAAGACTGCCGACAGTGCACAGTCTGTAACAGAAAAGGCCCGAGCTGCACGCACTGAGTTTATCTTCAAGTATCTCGCACCCGCCGTAGGTAAGTGTCTTGAAAGATCTGTTATATATATATAGGTATATGTATAGGTAGAGGTATAGGTATAGATATAGGTATCAGTACAGGTATAAGTATAGGTATAGGTATACTCTCTCTCTCTATATATATATACATATATGCAAGGTTGTATACTTTCTACATGCTACACCTTTTCTATAAACATGTTATAACTGATACTTTTGGCTTTATAGAAATGTATGAATTAGAAGAGTAAACCGTTCTGTATCCATCCAGGTACCGATTTATGCTCGAATAACTCGCTTCCCGTATGTATGGCTTACTAGGTGTACTTCACTAAGATAGGTCTCAACAGTACGGTCCGTTATAACGTACCGGTTTCAAAGAAGTACTTGGCATGCAAGGGGTGTTTGTGTGTAGTATTTGAACAGAGAAATTCACAAGAAATATAAACTTATGTACTGGTACACTATCGTTTACGCCTGTACGTTATTGATCTGCATACTGGTCCTCTCAATAGCTTAAAAGGGGTTCTTAGGGTAGTTAACGAGAACTTGGGTACACTCACTTGCGTTCAGGTATGAGTGAGGTGCAGAATGTCAGCGAAGAAGAGGTTGTGCTACTGGCCATGACCGGCGCTCCCAAAGAGTTGTACGAGGCTTTCCTCACACTGCCGTATTCAGCCGAAACGATTATGGTAAGCACATACGTTTATGTATATATTTGTATAATTTAAAACAATGTATTTGCCTATATATCCCTTTTATTCTTAGAAATGTCTATATGCAGGATTTTCAGTGTCAGGCCTACCGTCTGGATGTTTTTACCGCCCGCGTCAGTGAATGATATAGTCATATAGGTGAATGTATATATGAATCATACGAAGTCTGCTTTCATATGTAACAAACGTATGTAAACCCGCAGGGTGGTAGTTTAGTGTATGATATGGTCATATAGGTGAATGTATATATGTATCATACGAAGTCTGCTTTCACATGTAACAAACGAATGTACACCCATAGAGTTGTAGTTTGCAGATGCCTACATGGAGTTCGTTCTCGGAGTTGATCTCCAAACTCTAGCGATAGCTCCATTCCTCCGCTAGTCTTTTTATTTTTACTTCTCGCTCTGGTCACCATACACGTGATCCGAATACCCTTCCAGCGGATACAGTTTATATAACATTTATAGAATTTATGATGTTCGTTGTATACATGCGATTATATACTCTTTGCGTGTGTACACTACAGACACTCTGGCGCATGTGGGTTCTGAAAGATTAAGTCACAACTTCTTAGTCTTACTGTCATATGCTGTTGGTGTATCAACACCCTTTAACGGAAACCAGCCTATGCATATACAGCGTAAAACGCTTATACCAACACATATCCATCATAAAGCATTTATAGATATGCATATTCAGCACGATGAGGGCATACTTAAGCATATCCATTATAACTAAGCGTATACAACAAAAATAGCTCATAGCCAGGCATGTAATTCCTTGTTTGTAGGCTGCGATAAAACTAGAGAAGAAACTGGACAATCTGTCAGAGGAACGGGAGCGAAAGGCAGAGATCGTGGGCATGGGTGATGTCTTCCCAGCTGATGTGGCTGAGGAGTTGGAACGACAGTAAGCCACGAAACGGATATGTTTATATGCAGAACACACACATATACAACACACACACACACACATATATATATATATATATATATACGTATGAGCATAGAGTACGATCAGTGAACATTACGAACTCTCAATCAAAATATATACGCAATGCGTCTTTTCCAATTTTAACAAAGATGGTCAAAAACCTACACCTGGGGACCGAATATATGGAGAGAAGAATGAACACTCGAGGCTAGACGATTTCATAGTAGTGCCCTAGCCAACTTTAAAGTACTAATATACACAGTTCTTATACTGTTGTACTCAAGAAGCCATTGCTGCCGGCTTGTTCAATTCGGGTTTCCCATACAGTCATGCGAATCATATTGTAACTCTACTTTAGCTCGTGAAGTCTTGCGATCAATTGATTCACTGTATAAACACTCAGATGACAACATATTATATATACACCTGGGTTTAAATGACATATAGCATACTACATATACACCTCGGTTTTAAATTGAAATAATGAACAATTCTGGTTGCAGAGCTGAAGAAGATCGGGAGTTCGCGGCCAGAAAACATCAGATTATGAGCGAAATGCACGATGGCCACGACAAAGAACTATTGCCGCACGAAGCTTTGGCCGAAGCCGATCGAATGGTAATTCCTAATCTTTGTACATGTTATTTTTATACACACTTGTTGTTTGGAGTCATGGACCTATACATCTTACAGGAGCATAAACATCTGTTACATGTGTATGCATCCAGTAGAAACTTGGCATTTATCAATGAAGAGTCTGCGCGGCATAATGCAAGACGCTTTTATAGCATCTCATTCCGGTGGCGCGTGCTTGTTCGTAACTCGAAAGGCAAGGTACTGTGCACACACAAGGTGGGCATTTATAATATCGATCTACACACTGTCTGTGACTCCAAGGTTATTTGATCTTGTACACTGTATGGACATATTGTATGGCGCTGCCTGTGTGACGCAGGAAATAGAAAGGGGCGCAGTGGGAGGCATATTCATATTATCAAGATGCACCACCTATACGCATAACAGGATGTATACATTTGTTTGTATATAACACGGCACATATCGCCTAGCCATGCTCAACGGCGTATATCATGCTTGGCTCTTCAACTACACAGACTAACGAAGCGCTGGAACGAAACATAGGGGATATTTTCGGTAGTGGCAGCCCGTTCCAAAATATCGATACCGGGAAAGACGGACTTTTCGCCAACCTCTTTGGCAAAGGCAGTGCGACGGCTAATAGTTTGTATGTGTAGTATAGTCCTCGTTGTTGGTTTGTTGTCGTTGGGTCTGTTGCTATCTTTGTAGTTGCTGCTCTTTTGATGTTATTGTTGTGGTTATTGGTTACTTTATAGCTGCTGTTGTTGTTTGCAGTTGCTGTTCTGTTGTGGCTATTATCGGTGTTAATGTGGATGATTGAAATGACCAAATTACTAGATTTAAAATCGATCTTGTGTCGATGCTACCCATTGTCACGAGATAAATGCAAACAATCTCGATGTTTTTGCTGTCGAAAAATACAAGGAGTACTACCCCACTGCGATAAACTGATTCAGATCACAATACAGTACACAGGTGATTTGTCAGTCGTTTGTGTGTGCACTATGAAACCACTTTGTACGGTACTATATCGTCTATGATTAGGGATTATATTCACAACGTGTCCTTCAATTGTGATATATCAGAGTCGCATACGAACTCAAAGAAAATGTAACTGTCTGTCAAAACTCTGCATTGTAGTGCGGAGAAGATCGAAGCGAGTCTGCAGGCTCAGTATGCGGCGGCCGAGGCTGACGACGGCAAAGCAGCATGGGACGAACAAATGCGGAAGGTTAACGAAGAGGACCTTAACATAGATGCTGAAGCGAACATGCAGTAGTTTGGTTTCATCCCTGTATGAGAACGTGAAGGTTCGTGACGCAAAACACGTGTTACGGCTATATTAGTATTGCAGCAGCTGGGTACCTTGCCGATAACGAAAATGCACAAAAAATACTACAACATACCGGGGAATAGCAAGGGACAATACAGTTATTTCGAGATGAGGGCTGATATAAAGCAATATAATTTGACAATTTTTGGTCATTTTCGAAGGCGGTCTTTAATAACCTAATAAATATCTGCATTCAAGATTATCATCCAACATGGCAAAAAAACCCCTGTTCGAGTATACGAGCTATTTCAGAGTGTGGGTAATAAACATCTTCTCGATGAAAGTGAGTATTTATCATGAAATTCTTGATATGTTTATTTTGTATGCGGTAGACTGTATTTTATGAAGCAGTCATATTTATTTGAAACCGGACTACAATCCGGGTTGTAGATTTCAATCGAGGTTAGTTTAAACTAATTATGTAGTTTCGCTGAGAAGATAGAATAATTTCTATACCATGGTCTCAATTCTGATGCAGTATCATCGAGACACAATTTGCAGCTCCGCAGTCGGCACTGCCGCTTTCTAAATTCTATCCACATGCTATCATAGCAGTGAATACTAGTTGCGGTGACGTATACTTCTTGTGTACAGTACTGAATAGAATACAGTAAGTGAGAAAGAGTGAACATCTCGGGTTGATATCAATACACGGGTTAAGACACAATTTGCAGCTCCGCAGTCGGCACTGCCGCTTTCTAAATTCTGTCCACATGCTATCATAGCAGTGAATACCAATTGCGGTGACGTATACTTCTTGTGTACAGTACTGAATAGAATACAGTCAGTGAGAAAGAGTGAACATCTCGGGTTGATACCAATACAAGGGTCGGAACTTCAGCAAAAGAGAAGAACGAAGCTTCTTTGATTTGCGATTCTCAGCGGTAGTGCAGTTGAACTGCCTACAAAAATATCACAATTCCAGTTGTGGCAATTGATGGCACCATCATAAAGAGCTCAGCAGCCGCCTCACACAGAGCGGAGCACAGTCATTCCATGACGATTCAGTGATATGAAGCAAACCAGTTTGCATGTAGTAGATATGAATGTCGCCGTAGTTAATCCAAAATACTCTTCTAATCATCAGCCTCATTGCGGGTCTTCGGCAATCATATCGAGACTGTTTTCGGATCTCACTTTCAAAAGACTCCGAGGAGATTTTAATCCACTGTCCAGAGAAAGAGAACTGAAGCTGGACATCTCCGGGGGGAATACGAACACAGGAGTGGATACACTTCGGTTCAACACACTACGCTGGCGACGGTCGAATGACTGGTGTGGTACACTAAGCATTCCTGCTTCCATTGTGTCGTCATCAACTTCCTCATGAATCTCACTTAGTGTGTACATCTTCTCGCAGTCTCGACTAGTCGATCTGGATAGCGTTGGGTATTTAGTGCAGAACTTAGCAGTCATTGTAAATAGTAAGTAGGGAGGGGTTGTTTGAAATGAACTGTCGCATTTGAACTTTCTTGCATATATACATTTCCAAAAGTCGAAAATAACTACGAAAATCGAAGGTATTTTTTTATTTTCAATATATTGCAATAAATTTTACTGATGGTTGTGTGTAGGGTGCACTGTAAAGGCGTGAAGGGAGTATTGTATAGGTTCTTCCACTGAGTAAGGACAAAAGAATGCATTCACGATAAAAATAGAGCAGAGTCTAAAAAAAGTATGGCGCGTGTGGTGCGTGTGGTGCGCCAACAATAACACGCCCTAAGCAGTTTTTCCCGGTTTCCCCGAATCCCCTGTCTGTATGATAAAACATCCCCAGATCGGGCAGATTCCCCTGAGTCCTACGGACTCACACTTCTGAAGTTCTGTCCCACAGTCCCACAGTCCCACAGTCCCACACAATGAAGAATGGCGAAAATGGCGGCAGCTGGCAGTCCGACATACAGCGGGCAGTCCGACATGTCGGACAGTATAAGTATGACACTACTCCATATTTCTCTCGAGAGTCATAAGTCATGAGTCATGACTCATGGACATGACTCATGAATATGAAGCATGACAAAATTTATATCGTCAGGCCATAGTATTTAAAAAATAAGAGCAATATATCAACTAAAAAATAAATATTTATATAAAAACAGGGAAACCCGTTGGAATAATTATCGCAAGAAGAGTGTGCCTCCGGCAGAGTTCGGCTTCAATGAGTCCTCGAGGAGACCTCGTGGCTCAGGAAAAATAACTATTTTATCTGTAGAGAGCTCTAGAGAAATTTGCGGCATTTCGGGAAATTCATAATTTTTTTATAAACATTTAGTTTCACCAATACAAACTCAAAGAAATGAACGTAAGGCAAGTGAAATACATACAGACATGATTTAAATACATAGAGTCAGTGACTCAAGTCATCTGTGACTAGTGTAGTATGTAGTTTGTAATTTGTACAGAATTACAGATGCTCCAGAGTAGTATGTAGTTTGTAGTGTGTACAGATGTACTAACATTACAGACACTGGACTCCTGGAGCACACCACAAGAAGTGTTGGAGTGAGGGCCCTATGGGGTTAGAACCCTGGGGCCTGGGCCTGGGATCTGGTCACCTGGGGCTGAGGGCTGGGCCCCTGGAGGAGTGAGGAGTACTGAAGAGTACGCAGAGTCTCTAAGTCTGAGGCCTAAGCCCAGAGTCCGAGGGCTGAGGGCGGCCCTAAGGCCAAAACCCCTGAGCCTGGCTGATGAGGCCCTGACTCAATACAAGAAGCGTACACCTGAGGCTGAGGGCTGAGGTTCAATATTTATAATAATAAAAACCAAAAACCAAAACAAATCATTTTATAAAATCCAATTGCAATAAATATAAATGTTGCTCGAGTTCACTCGATTCTGGAATGTCCAATACATGTGATCGAAGATGGAACTTGAGTACAATTATCTATAATTGGTCTAAAACTCATCATAAGGTTGTTAGACTGGTAGTCTCTAGTAAGTCTACTGGAGGTAGAGACTACCACTGGTAGTCTTGACTCTTTAGTTGCACAGTTGTTCATTGGCTTTTCTTTTCGGGAGAGCATTTAAGTGATTTATCTCGCTTTAACTTCGTTGTCGAATTTCTACTCGAGCGGTGTTAGTTGTTTTTGAAAAAAATATTTGTATTTGTAAATTTTCCCTTTTCTGATTTTGTAAAAAAAAACAAAAACAACCCAGTTTTAAAAAAAAATATAGGCGTCAAACCATAGCTGAGAGCGACATAGCCTCCTATTTTTATATTATTTATATTCAACACATCAACCAAAAGTCTGTAAGGCCCTACCAGCCTAGTACCGAACTGTGACCCCTTTTGACCTATATCATCAGTGTAATAAACCTGACCTACTAGGAAACCTTATCGCCCAAGTTCGCCCAGTCTTGCAATTATTAATATTTACACTGCCATTCCTAGCCCACTTTACGAGATCAGCAAAACGAAGTATCAGCGCAAGTGCCCTTACCGGGCAACAGTCCTTTAATTAGCGACCCCACGCACATCCCTTGATTGAGGATCCGTGCCCAACAGCGTCCTTCGCGAGATTGCGATCAGATTCGACTACAAAATTGTAGTACACATATTTGCCACCTTAGCCGTCTGAAATAGCCCCCTGAATGTTAATTTTTAGGAGGCTAATTGACTACATACGCATTTTAAACCTTCAACTCTAAACAAATAATAATAAAAATACAGTCGAATATAGCCTTCAAATTGACCAAATCAAACCACCCTTTTTGTCTACCTTTTTTATTTTTCCCCTCCTTTTGTCCACTTTTTTTATACTGGGACTCGAAACTAGTTTACAGTATGTACCAGAATATGTTAGGACACTGCTGTATGAATATTGAAATCACGTGTACGTATGCTCCGCTATACTCTCACAAGGGAAGTGGATCAGCAGGTATCTTTTTGATAACCTGAAAATGAACTACAATATATTTTGTATATAAAAATAGCGGTAATACTCGCCTGTTGGGTGTAAGCGCCCAACTGTTGTTCTGGGTGCGGGATATGGTAGGCAGGGGTATTGTCTACCACAAGTGACAGATGAGTACCGCCAACAACTGGGAAAAAGACTATCAGTTGATCCACAAATTAGTGTATCAAAGTCGATGTTTGAAGGCTTTAAAAACAGAAGCATTTGATATGCAATATGCACGTATGTACGTTATTGTACTAGTGTATAACTGTATATACCTCTAGAGCGAGCTATAGGGTCCTCAAGCCCCCAACCCTACTTGCCTGATTCTTGCCTACCTCTATTTTTGTCCAAATTATGTGGCCTGAAAGAGGTTTGACAATTCACCTGAAAGAGGTTTGACTTTTTTACATTTTTGAATTTTTGGGGCTTGAGAGTCTTGGATACTCAGCCTACTCAGCAGGCAGTCGGGCAGTTAGCTAGTCGCCAGTTGGGAAGTGGGTAGTGGGTAGTGGGTAGTGGGCAGTAAGAACCTGATACAGTAATATGTACGTATAACCGCACATTGGCTAGGTAGTGCGTACTGTAGAAGCAGTGGGTACTCGAGACTTGGGCCTCACCCCTTGGGCCTCAAAAGCCCTCTTGCGTCTCAACTCTCCACAAGAAGTCTCGGAAACTGGACTAAGGAATAGTGAGGACTGAGGAGTCGAGACTGAGTTTGGCTGATAGCTCTGTAGATATCTCTGTATTTAACTCTGGGCTAAGTTTGTGGCTATGTGAAGTGTGGTGGACTTCTCATGGACTTCAATTTTTCAAGGCTTCCACGTTTCAATTTTCAACCGCAAACTATTTCAGTTGCCCTGGACACGGGCGGGCCCACGGCCCACAGGCCACGGCCCAGTGCCGACGCTCCATAGTAGGACTAGGTGGGCCAGTAAGACTCAAAAGGCATAACTCCTGCTCGCCAATGACGTGAGCGGCGAGTCTCATTCCAATTCATGACTCATGCGATATGTCTCAAATGTCTAATTTTTATTTAGAAGGCTAAGCAAATTCTCAACAACTGTGAAATGAATGACTCACTGCCTGACTCATTCCTGCCAGTCGCCAGACGCCAGTCACCAGTCGCGGCCCTCGCAGGTCGGCAGTCGGCAGTCGGCAGTCGGCAGTCGGCAGTCGGCAGTCGGCAGTCGGCAGTCGGCAGTCGGCAGTCGGCAGTCGGCAGTCGGCACTCGGCAGTTGGCACTCGTCACTGTCGTCACTCGGCACTGTCGGCAGTCGCTCGCCAGTTACTTTAGTTAAATATGTGGGCTCAATCATCAATGCCTCATTAAGTATTTATTGGAGAAGACAAATGACAGCTTTGAATTCATTTGTAATTTTTAAATTTTTAAATTTGATTTTTATAGATATATATCAATAAGGCTCGTTCTTTTAAATTATAAACCCACTATTTAAAATATAAAAAACAGTATAAAGGCCAATTGTAAGCATAAGTCACATGAGTGGCAAATTTTTTTCTAAAACACAAGAAGAGGGGTACAAAATCAAATATATTGTACTACATAGAGTCATAGATATCCGTCTCTTGCACTATTTAAATTATTGTCCCCGGACTGGCGAACGTTTAAAAAAATCTAAAAAATGATAACAAAAAACAAACAAACCAAAATTACAACACATGTGAAAAGAAAAGAAAAACACAGTGAGAGCTCAGAACTGAGACTTGAGAGTGGAGCGCCGGAGCCTGCGGAGGCTTTTAGCGGAATGCAGATTGCAGACTGCAGAGTACGACTGCGGTCGCTGGCCAGAAATACAGAGGAGCACTCTAGCAGACTCTCTAGAGTAGCATATAGATTGTTTGGAATATATTTATTAAAAAAGGATAGTAAATATTTTTGTCGGTCCGAAGTCCGAAGTCCGTAGTCCGAAGGTCCGTAGTACGGTATTTGGCGGCCATTATATTTATATTTTCAGGGACTCTGTATAAAGTCTGTGGTCTGTTGAGTTGTGAACTTGTGAGCGTTGTGACTTCTTGTCAGTTGTCAGTTGTCACTGTTGGTAGACTGTCAGACGCCAGCCTGTGTCAGGCGTTCAGCCTATGTCAGGCGTCAGCCTGTGTCAGGCAATAACACAAATGTAGCAAACATTCTTATTTTAAATTCAATGAAAATGCTTGCTTATTGACTCTATAATTCTTTTTCCGACCTCCGCCGCAATGTCAGGCAGTAGCACATATATAGCAAACATTCATATTTTAAATTTAATGAAAATGCTTGCTTATTGACTCTGTGATTTTTTTCCGACCTCCGCCGCAATGGATATCATATCAATCTGGTACCAATCACCTTGGAAATCAATCTGCTCTCTAGAGTAGCGGTAGACTCCAGGACCCAGGCCTCTAGTAGCAGACTTCAATACGTATTTTACTTTTTGTGAAAACGTAGTACGTTTTAAGTTAACGCTAAGTTTCGAAACCGTTTTTCTTACTGGAAGCCAATTTAGTAAAATTCTAAAAACCTTTTTTTTTTGTGATAGTAGAA